CACTAGCAAAAGACTGATTTTATTTTTCCACGACGCGTTTCCTCTTGGCGATTACTTCTGTTCAGTGTTCGATTGATTTTGTTCTGATTTCTACATAGAAGCTTCCCCATAATTTATTTGTAGTTCATTGATCTGGTTCCTGACCTGCTCTTGAAGTGTTTGATCATTTTGGAGCGTCTTTACGTTTCTGAGGTATAGGGTTTGAACCAGTCCCTTCTTTTTCAGATACTGGCGTATGGAGTCTGTAATTGACGTAGTTTTTTTATGATTGGTGTATGGGTGTAATCACTAGTTTGCTTACGCCTAATCCGTGAAAAAGAAGCACACCTTTAGCGCCTGATAAATCGATATTATTCAAAGAAACCCACATAGACAGTGGATTTCAAACCATATCTGCGCTATGTGACGTCTGCGAATACACCTTGCAACGCATATGAGGATACGAAATCATTGCTTTGAAAAGATATCCGTAATACATTTTGAAGTTTCATGCGTATCGCGATAAGAAAAGATATAAAAGACTGGCACGTCTTTAAACACTGCGGTAAAAATTCAAAAGTTGTTGTTTACGTCCATACTGCTGTAGTACCCATCCTACAGACTATCCACAGCGAGCTCCATAAACAAGTACTGTAATTCGTTTCGCAGGGTTTAAAGAGTTGAAGGACCAGTTCAGTCATTTTATAAGTGTGTTTAATGCTGCTGACGGTGAAATGGTTCCGAAGAAGCTTCCAGGTGTCGAGGTACTGCGCATATATTTCAAGCCATATATGCTGCTACCTACTTTGCTTCATCGTATTTCACCTGATCATGTCATCCGTTTCTATAATTAAGGCAGTGGCGCAATGGACTAGTAGATTGCTTTTCTTGTTGCAGTGCGGATCCAGATCCAACGCGGTGCGTACGTTTTCGCTTGTTAACTGCGAATTCCTTTGAGGAACGATTGATTCGATGCAATCGCAGAATAACGAGTAGCAAGATGCTGAACTGCGGATAATATGGACAGCAGGGTGTTCAGATATGGTCCTTCGAGAATGTACGAGACAAAAGGCTGTTGTATGATGCGTGCACTTTACGACTGCAATACGCCTTGACCCACCTGATAGCTGAATAGAAATCAGCATCAGTTGTAAACGTATATTTTAAGAAATAATGGACACTATTTGCACTTCATGATGTGGGCGAAACGTTAGACCTTAGGAAGGACGTGG